ATGGGCCTGCGAGTGGAACAGCCACTGTTGTGAACCCAGTGGAACTCATTTATAACGGGACAAGCAAACCTCATGTTTTACTGTTTCACTTTAAATAAAATACGTTTCAAAAGCTTCAGAAGGAACTTGTTCTTTCCAGAACCAAAAGTATACCGTAGTTTCAAAGATGTAAAAAATGCTGATTGTTGATATAGTACACTTAAAAATCATATGGTTGTCGCATCGCAAATATGCTTTAATTTAGCACATTACCAAAATCACATAACCCTACAAGGAACGGCTGCCCCTCAATTTATGAAGATTTAAGTGCAAGAAAAACACATATTTGTAACCTATTCTCTCGGGACATCATATCATTTTTGGCCTGGTTGTAAATTTATCTTTACGAGAAACACATGTACATTCCACAGAAATATAATATAGTTATGTCTGTTGATAAGATTGAACTTGTTTGACAAATGGCTGTGTTTGTATTCCACACAATGCATTTAAGAAAAAATAGTGATAATATGTTATTCAAAGACTGAAAGTTGATTGCAGTGTAACTAAAGATGTACGGGACGTTGGTCTACATCAAGCAGAATAGAGATGACGATGATTTATCTCGCCATCATATAATCATATAATTACGTGACCTGATACCGATGTCGACTGATATTATGGCATACCCCTCTGTCTCTCTCTCTCTCTCTCTCTCTCTCTCTGTCTCTCTCTCTCTCTCTGTCTCTCTCTCTGTCTCTCTCTCTGTCTGTCTGTCTCTCTCGCTCTCTGTCTCTCTCTCTCTCTCTCTCTCTCTCTCTCTCTCTCTCTCTCCCTCAGACTTCAAGAACAAAAATGAAGCGCAAAAGGTCAAGGTGATCAGCACGTATGAAACGTAATTTTAGGAACGATTGAGTCGAAAAGGTGTGTGTAATATATTACAGACGCTTCTATTGATACTTCATGTTAAATCGAAGACGTTGGTGTGTTCCGTGGCTCAACATCTTCTCCTTGAAGGCAGAGAATAATAAGCGAGACGCTTTTTATCCTGTACGGATTTCTTACAATAAAATACCTGTCGGTAGGGGATTAAAAAAGCAGTTCAATTATCAATATTTAATTTCCTCCTCCACTACAGGTCGGCTTATTATAAAATAAAAATGGTTTAATGTGAGAGGAGGGCCTGCAACACAGCTGTTGCTTTAAGCAATGCAAACCTGACGAATCAAGCGGGACTACTGTTGGGCATCTGTGTATCCTATCAATTTCAAGAAAATAAAAAAAACCCTTTAATTTCACTCCATTGTTTAACTGTGACAACTTCAGTGGGTCCTTGTTTACATATTCGTTTTGTTGCAATATGCTACATGCTTCTCGGGTGGGATAAAAAAGAGCACATTTTAAATTACCTATTTCCATTTTAACAAAATTTACAGTGGGCGGGTCCGTAAAGCAAGAGAAGACAGTGTGGACTAAATGATAAGAGAATACCTGTGGTTCCAGCACCGCATCAGCAAGTTTACAGGTCAAGAAATGAAAGAGTGGGTGAGTGAGTTGGGTTTAACGCCGCCTTTTACCGTATTCCAGTTATATCACGGCGTGTCAGCCTAATGTGGGAGGAAAGCCCGAAGTGATGCAGGTTTCAGACGGTTACCACTTCGGTGAAACCCACGAGCACGGGTATGGTGCTGACAAACCTAGAAATATAATCGGGGTGAACCGGGATTCGAACCCACAATCATAGGTTTCTGGCATTCCAAAGGGACGCAACTCTGCACAGGGAATTGCGGCGCCTAAATGCCCCCCAGTAATGAAATAAGTATTATATCTGTAGAACACAGTGAGGGAGTGGTGTGTTGATAGATAACCACACCAGAGCGTCAGGATATTAGTTTCCCAGAGTGAAAGCAAACTGAATATTCTTAAGTATGCCAAACTCGCAGCTCGGAATTACGTGTGTGGGTTATCTGTCCCTCGTGAAATTATGTTGAAAGTCCCTCGCTACTGTTCGGCAATTACGGCATTAATTCACTCGTCACAGATATAAGACATGACACTTTTATGGAGAACAAACTCTTTATTGTTTGTGACGTAGGTTTCAGGCCTAGTTCTTGCACCTTCCTCCCTGATATCTTCATGTTCTTCCAACTCCTTAATGCCTATCAAAGACACCGTTGTTCCTGGTACCTCCCTGACAATCCAGTGATTGACATCATGAGCATCGATCTACGCAGTTGCGACTTAATGACATGCATCAACCAAGTTAGCAAGCCTGACCGACCACCCAATCCCGATAGTCACCTGTTACGACAAGCACTGTCGCCTGTTACGGCAAGCCTAGGTTGCTGAAGACCTATTCTACCCCGGATCTTCACGCGTCCGTTGGGGTAGGTCGTATATTAGGTGAAATGGCAAAACATGTCGCTAGGACATCCTAAACTAGGTCGCAGCGGTTAGGAGGTCGTAGCGCTAAGAGGCCTTCGTGAAACGGCACCCTGTTACGGCAAATGAAGCATGGGTTGCTGAAGACCTGTTCTTACCCGGTTCGTCACGGGTCAGTGTAAGTTGTAGCAGGCCCTTGGGTGTCACTGACACTGGCTGTCAATCCTTGGAGGAGCATGCAGACATGGCCAGTAAAAAAACGTATCCTACTATCGCTTCGCTAAACAGGAAGTGACTTGAACTTCATCACGTTTCGGGGGGCGGGGGCGGGTATAGCTTAGTGGTTTAAGCGTTCGCTCGTCACGCCTTAATTCCGGGTTCGATTCCCCACATGGGTACAATGTGTGTAGCCCATTGCTGTCCCCCGTCGTGATATTGCTGGACTATTGCTGATGCGGCGTAAAACCATACTCACTCACTCACTCATCACGTTTCACGGTAAAATGCGGAAATAAACACAAACACTCTCATTTGCATTATATTTATACACAAAATACAATGTTAATTGTGGCCATTACTAAACCATGGGTCAGCCGAGTGAATAACCTATCCAACTGTCAATCAAGCAACATCGACAGAAGTGATACACAATCAGCCATTTATCCATGATTTTTAAACCTGCCGAAATTAATCAAACATGTACCCCAATCGGCTGATGCGCCGCAATTTGATGTGTAGGGCTGCCTCCCTTGGGCACGCAAGAAACCTATGGTTATGGGTTCGAATCCCAGTTCACCCCGATTATGTTTCTCGGTTTGTCTGTACCATACCCTTGCTGGTGGGTTTCGCCAAAGTGGTAAACGTCTGAGACCTGCATCACTTCGGGCTTTCCTCCCACGTTAAGCTGACACGCCGTGATAAAACTGGAATACTGTTAAACTCAACTCATTCACTTGTTATGTGAGACACTGTGTGGCATCAATCGCTATATTTTACGGGCGCATCGTTTACGGCGATACCATAGTTCATCTCAGAATACAAGTGTTACACAGTGAGATCTTATCTGATCTTATCTATAATAATTGTCCTTTGTATATCCTTTGTAGAACCCTTGACACTTGCGAATGTACGTCATCATAGAACAATTGGTAGTTATTTACAGAAATAAACAGTCATCACAAATAGTATCAAACTGGATCTATTCTGTTATAAAGTGCAAATATTTATGTATTGGTTTGTAAAATGGTGGCAAGTTGTAGGGTAACGGTACCACTTGAGGGTAGTGCATGTTTAACGTGTGTCCCATTCATGTCTGCCTGGGGATATTGGGGTGTGTCAGATCACCAGTCATGGCTTTGTTTGTTTGTTTGTTTGTCTAACGCCACACTCAACAATATTCTAAAAATGAGACGACAGTCTTTATTTAAACGAGTCTTGGCCAGATAATCAAGTGATTGACGGCATGGGCATCGATCTACGCGATTGGGACACGATGCCATGTATCAACCAAGTCTGCGACCTGAACACCCGATCCCGTTTGTCGCCTCTTACCACAAGCATAGTCGCCTCTGATGACAAGCATGGGTTGCTAACCCGGATCTTCACGGGGCGTCATGGCTACATACAGTCTCGACGTCTGTCCCGGGAATCAGACCCTGTGTATTGAGTATTTTGGGTGCGGTCAAGGTTTACGCGAGTTTCAACTGAAAATGTATTTGGTACCAAAGATGCGGAAGTCAAGAAATAGTTCCTCGTATATTAGACCAACTCTTGCACACATAAAACGTGAACAATGTCAAAAATATTTTTGTCAGTGGTACCAAGAATGAGGGTTGTCCAATACAAATTTGAAAACTTCTAAGCCTGACCAGTGAGTCAGTTGTCGCCACTTTTAGTAATAATCAAGGAATATCACGACAGGGCACACCAGGAATGGCCTTCATACTTTGTACTATGAAGGGAATCGAACCAGTAAATAAAAGCATGTATTGCATTTTTAAACACAGATAATGGCTTTTGCACGTTTAGAGTATGTGGGTGGCGACCAACCCATTTGATATTCGGGCTGGGTTGTGTTGTGGACGTCTGGGCGTTCTTGAAAACATTTGTTATATGTTTTTAAAAATGTATTCGTTTGGCATGCTGATTGTCCTCCAAACTCAAGAAACATAAATGTTCAAAAAATAGTAGGTGGATGCAAATAGACGCAAACGGGATGCGATGACAAAGATATTTATAGAGTAATCGTGATGCAGAGTTAGGGAAGGCACACTCCGTATATGGCAGCACGAGAACTTACAGCTAAATTCCAACCACTAGGGAATCAACTGACTTGTCGAGGAAGACACAAAAAGGAATAGTTTCAAGAAAGCACAATTTATAAGCACAGACAAACACCGTTGTGTCGAACTTTGATATGCTGAACCTACGGTTCTCTCAAAGAAAAGGGATGGTCGGGTAGCCTAGTGGTTAAAGCGTTCGCTCGTCACGTCGAAGACCCGTGTTCGATTCCTGACATGGGTACAATGTGTGAAGCCCATTTCTGGTGGACTGCCGTGATACTGCTGGAATATTACTAAAAGTGGCGTAAAATCAAATTTAATCATTCACTCACTCAAAGAAAAAAACGTGATCCCTACATAATCCTTCTTTATTCATCCGTTTTCGGTTGTGTCGAACCTCGGACAGCTCGAAGTATTTACATTGGTCCCTTCAACTTCGACACAATGGTATTGACAGAATGTTTATCCAATAATTATGTTGGATGAACCTTTGTCACTCCTCACCATACAGTGCCGGTCTGCTTTAGGAAGGGCGTCCAACCACGTGGAGACCCTCTTTGGATACACGTGACTCTTCACCGCCATCTTGGTTGAGAATGCCAGGAAGTTCTGGTTGGTGACGTCATACTGAGGCCAGTCACGTGAAAGCTGGCCTTTTACTGCGGGATTCGGATCACTGAAAAGGGAAAGTTGATTTGTGTTAGGGACTGATCATAGTCACGTGAAAGCTGGCCTTTTACTGCGGGTTTCGGATCACTAAAACGGAAAGTGGATTTGTGTTAGGGACTGACCATAGTCACGTGAAAGCTGGCCTTTTACTGCGGGATTCGGATCACTAAAACGGAAAGTGGATTTGTGTTAGGGACTGACCATAGTCACGTGAAAGCTGGTCTTTTGCTGCGGGATTCGGATCACTAAAACGGAAAGTGGATTTGTGTTAGGGACTGGTCATTATATATTCCTTATAACGGTAGAATGATCATGTGTCATAACTTTCCGATATTTGCATGTTTGCATCTTAGCGATTCTTGGTGCTTCAGTTGAAGCTATATGACTTGACAGTTCTTCGTTGTTGAGAAAGATACGATATGGCACCTTTCATTGTTCGTCACAAATTAATTACATTACGTGACCCGTGAAGATCCGGGGTAAAATAGTCCTTAAGCAATCGATGCTTGCCATAAAAGGCGACTATACTTGTAAGAGGCGACTAACGGGATCGGGTGGTCAGGCTCGCTGACTTGGTTGATACAGGTTTCAGATGTTTTTCTTCATTTTCTCTCGTAAAAATGTCATTGAAAAAAATATTCAGATGAATCTACACGAAAATGGGAATTACAGATTATCTGTCATGGATGAATGAATGCTGTTAGTCACTATGCAAAGACTCGGGATAAACAACATTCAGTCACTCGCGATCGGGACAGATCATCCGAAATACCTCGTAGCTTGTTGGTTATTCTCTACATATTTGGTGGTTTGGTGGAAGGCGTCTGGTATTGGAGACCGATCTACAAAATAGCAACACAACCCTTGACATCATGCCTCGCTTGCTCTTACGTGAGCTTGCCGATTGGTCCCTGTTGGGTCGAGCCACGAAACTCAACCGTGCCTCAGCCTACAAGTGTGTAAACTATAGGCCAGATTTGAAAACTTCAAAATGTGACGGCACTTATTCAATCCGAGTGAGTGGGTTGGGTTTAACATCGCTTTTAACAGTATTCCAGTTATATCACGGCGTGTCAGCTTAATGTGGGAGGAAAGCCGGAAATGATGCAGGTCTCAGACGTTTACCACTTCGGTAAAACCCACGAGCACGGGTATGGTGCCGACAAACCTATAAACATAATCGGGGTGAACCGGGATTCGAACCCACAATCATAGGTTTCTGGCATTCCAAAGGAACGCCTAAATGCCCCCCAGAAATGAAAGAAGTATTATATCTGTAATCGGAGCGAACCGGGATTCGAACCCACAATCAAAGGTTTCTGGAGTGCCAAAGGAAAGCAAACTCTGCACAGCGAATCCCGGCGCCTCAGACGACTGGGCCACCCGTGCCCCCAAATCAATCTGCGACCTGTTTGATATCGATATTGCTTTAAAATAAATTATCATTATCAATAACACTCACCTGCTCTTTGCAAAGTTTGTATATATCGCAACGAACGTCGATGACAGCTGATATTCTTCTTGACTGACGTTGCTATGGTAATTGCTGTGGACAAACGCTGCACTGATCCCAAACGAATACATGAGATCACGTGCATGCACCATTCCTCTAAGACGATTGTAATTTGCCAGGAATGATGGAAAATGATCAAATAGATAGAAGTACGTTTTGCCCCGGTTGGTAAACCGACCGTGTGCGTTGGCCACTTCTACAGACGGTGCGACAATGGAGGCGTCACTCTGTGTGTCCATGACGTCATAGAGGGTCAGCAGCTTCGTCTGAGGGTAGTCTTTAGCAACGTAGCCATTCATGATGACGTAAACGCTGCTGTTGTCAAACGTTCCACAGAGTCTCCTGAGGATGAGAGGAACCAGTTCTGTCTTGTAGTAATGGTGAGTCCTGATGGTGGTAAGGGCGGAGGTGTTGTGGGTGTGGCCATAGTTGTAGGCCATGCCCACCATGTACCCCCCTTCCTGATTGTTCACCCCCACCATCAGGTCAAGGTCATAAAACCCCACGCGCTCCAGATGGGCAGAGTCATGGATCATGAACCTCGGGTTGTTGATAACGAAGTCATCATCCACAACCGGAGACCAGGTAAAATCGGCCGAGTAGTAAGCAAGGCCGAGATTCGGAATGGAATACTTGACCAAAGTCGACACTGACATGTTCTGAAAGCAGTTCAGAAGGTCCTTGTCGGCTGGATCATAACCCGGGGTGTCGGGTATGCATTTAACACGTTTTCCAAGAGCAACAGCTACTTCTCTGGGATTGCTCCTGAATGAGAAATATCCTGTAGCTGATCCGCTTTGCATGATAACCTTCTGAAATAATCCCTTTGCCTTCTTCGACAAGAAGAGATAGGATCCCGCTTTAGATCCTGCAGATTCACCGAATAGAGTGACATGGCTAGAATTCCCGCCGTAACCCTCAATGTTATCTTGAACCCATTGGAGAGCCAGCTTCATGTCCCAAAGAGCATAGTTGCCAGGTAGGACGGCGTTTCCAGTGCTGAGGAAGCCGAGGACGTTGAGTCTGTACTGGAGGGTGACGACCACGACGTCCCCTTCCGTCACCATCTTCCAGGGGTCGTACTTGACGGCTGACCCAGCCTGGAAGCCGCCTCCGTGGATCCACACCATCACTGACCGCTTGACCGCTGGCGCCTGTGTGGGCGTGAACACATTGATGGTCAGGCAGTCTTCATCCTGAGGTTCGGTGCCTGGGGATTGAAGACAGGACGTCAGTGGACATGTTGGCAGCATGGAATAGCATATTGAGGACAAGAAATAATCGAAAAACGCTTCATGCGAACAGAAAAAAATGACACGGGGATATATAATGGTCTTGTGTTACCACATTGAAGTAATTTCCCAGCTTAATCTGAATACAAGGAGTAGTGGTAGTAGTAGTAGTAGTAGTAGTAGTAGTAGTAGTAGTAGTAGTTTAGTAGTAGTAGTAGTAGTGGTAGAAACGATGACATGCATCAACCAAGTCAGCGAGCCTGACCACCCGATCCCGTTAGTCGCCTCTTATAGTAGTAGTAGTAGTAGTAGTAGTAGTAGTAGTAGTAGTAGTAGTAGTAGTAGTGGTGGTGGTAGTGGTAGTGGTGGTAGTGGTAGTGGTAGTGGTAGTGGTAGTGGTAGTAGTAGTAGTGGTAGTAGTAGTAGTAGTAACAGTTGTTAATGCAGTAGTAGTAGTAGTAGTAGTTGTAGTAACAGTTGTTAATGCAGTAGTAGTAGTAGTAGTAGTAGTAGTAGTAGTAGTTGTAGTAACAGTTGTTAATGAAGTAGTAGTACTAGTAGTAGTAGTAGTAACAGTTGTTAATGCAGTAGTAGTAGTAGTAGTAGTAGTAGTAGTAGTAGTAGTAGTAGTAGTAGTAGTAGTAGTTGTTGTTGTTGTTGTTGTGTTAGTTATACTTCTGGTTGTAGGGCGACTTGTCAAACAGTTGCACTGCCTTTCAGACAGTAAACGCTGGTAGTAACAATGTCCCATCGTTATTGTACAAAATGTTCGTTATCCTATCTGCACATGTGATGACGTGTATAATATTAGCACAATAATGTCACACTGCCTTTTCTTAAATCGTCAGCGTGCAATAGAGTTCATCACATCCGGATTAAGGACCTTTGAACTGTGTGGAAATTTGAACGGAGGAAAACTGACTGAATGTGTAATGCTACCATTGTAGCTGCTCATCGAGGCTTACTGTACAGTAATCACACAGTGAAAACAGGGACTCGGGACTTCAGGGCACGTTGTCATTTTAGCTGCTCATCGCGGCTTACTGTACAGTAATCACACAGTGGAAACGGACTCGGGACTTCAGGGCACGTTATCATTGTAGCTGCTCATCGCGGCTTACTGTACAGTAATCACACAGTGGAAACAGTGACTCGGGACCTCAGGGCACGTTATCATTGCAGCTGCTCATCGCGGCTTACTGTACAGTAATCACACAGTGGAAACAGGGACTCGGGACCTCAGGGCACGTTGACACGTTATCATTGTAGCTGCTCATCGCGGCTTACTGTATAGTAATCACACAGTGGAAACAGGGACTCGGGACTTCAGGGCACGTTATCATTGCAGCTGCTCATCGCGGCTTACTGTACAGTAATCACACAGTGGAAACAGGGACTCGGGACCTCAGGGCACGTTGACACGTTATCATTGTAGCTGCTCATCGCGGCTTACTGTACAGTAATCACACAGTGGAAACAGGGACTCGGGACCTCAGGGCACGTTGACACGTTATCATTGTAGCTGCTCATCGCGGCTTACTGTACAGTTATCACACAGTGGAAACAGGGACTCGGGACCTCAGGGCACGTTGACACGTTATCATTGTAGCTGCTCATCGCGGCTTACTGTACAGTAATCACACAGTGGAAACAGGGACTCGGGACCTCAGGGCACGTTATCATTGCAGCTGCTCATCGCGGCTTACTGTACAGCAATCACACAGTGGAAACAGGGACTCGGGACCTCAGGGCACGTTGACACGTTATTATTGTAGCTGCTCATCGCGGCTTACTGTATAGTAATCACACAGTGGAAACAGGGACTCGGGACTTCAGGGCACGTTATCATTGTAGCTGCTCATCGCGGCTTACTGTATAGTAATCACACAGTGGAAACAGGGACTCGGGACCTCAGAGCACGTTGACGCGTTATCATTGTAGCTGCTCATCGCGGCTTACTGTATAGTAATCACATAGTCGAAACAGGGACTCGGGATTTCAGGGCACGTTATCATTGTAGCTGCTCATCGCGGCTTACTGTATAGTAATCACACAGTGGAAACAGGGACTCGGGACCTCAGTGCACGTTGACACGTTTTCATTGTGGACGGAACTTATGTTAACCGACTGTGCACCCTCGCGATAAACGCATTCACTCGTCCCGCACTCGATTCTCAAAATGGGTACCCATTTTTAGTGCTTACCCGCATTGTTAAAAGGGGCATTACACTCGCTCGTGGGGCGGTGGGGAAGCCTTGTATTTTAAGCGTTCGCTCGTCACGCCGAAGATCCGGGTTCGATTCCACACATAGGTACAATGTGTGAAGCCCATTTGTGGTGTCCCCGCCGTGATATTGCTGAAATATTGCTAAAAGCGGCGTTAAACCATACTCACTCACTACGCTCGCTCGCTAACGCAGGAACTCAACCACTCAACCACCCAAATACCCACCAACCCACACAATCACTCACTTTCTCAGATCCCTCACGCACTCACTCACTAAGATCTCCCACTCACTCAGTTCCCTCACTCACTTAGATCCCCAACCCACTCACTGTCTCAGATACCTCCCCCACCCACACATTTACTCCCTTACGGTGTGATATGTAACTTTATAAAGCAAGTGTTCACCTACCCAGCTGGGGACAAGCGGGGCCAAATGCCTTTGCTTTGAAGATTCCAGAAGAGCCTGGGTTAGGCTGTGACTTCTTGAATCTGAGGTCACCGACAGGTGGCAGTGCATACGGTATTCCCAAGTAGGCGTTGTACTTCCGACCCTCCGGGGACGTCTTTATCACCCCCTCAACTGTCCCCCAGGATGACGTCACAGTCGGCCCAGCGGTGGCTAATGTCAACTGACACAGACACAGGGCCAGCCACGATGTAGACGCCATTGTTGATCGCGAGATGACCTCTACAGAAGTCAAGATAAGATTACAGGTAATCACATTGGTAACCGTCTCACAAGTTCACCACTAGATCGTGTTTATTCCATTTTTAATGTATCCAACTATCGAAAGAGTTATCTCTTTTTTACCAACGAGGGATAACATATCGGGGTTCATAGAAATCATACGTGCCCTATGGTCATATCGCGTCACGAGACAACGGTGTATTGTTTCCGTCATCCCGATGGCATTGTTGACGTCATTCGTATCTTATTTTGACGTGAGGTCTGAATGACGTCACACTTGAAACCACGTCAGAGCTGAAGATTGTTGACGTCAATCGACAAATTGTGGTTCCGCTGCTGCGACTTGCTGTCCTTCTAGGTAAAAATCGTCTCTGTATGTAGAAACCTTCTTTGGTAATAAATATAACATTATATTAGTGTTCATGTCATACTATGTTTACGACACTCGAGCCTAAATTCCGGTATTTCCACACTCGTGTCGTAAACATAGTATGTATGTATTTAGAGATTGTCCCATCAGAGTGCATACAGCTGTATTATAGGTGTCATGTGACCCATCACATGTATACAGCTGTACTAGAGGTGTCATGTGACTCCATAACAGTGTATACAGCTGAAATGTAGGTGTCACGTGACCCCAAGCTGTACATGACGTGTCATGTAGCCCTATTATAGATCAAACATATGTACTAGAGGTGTCATGTGACCCCATTATAGGTCATACATATGTACTAGAGGTGTCATGTGACCCCATTATTGGTCATACATATGTACTAGAGGTGTCATGTGACCCCATTATAGGTCATACATATGTACTACAGGTGTCAAGTGACCCCATTATAGGTCGTACATGTGTACTAGAGGTGTCATGTGACCCCATTAAAGGTCATACTTATGTACAAGACGTGTCATGTAACCCCATTAAAGGTCATACTTATGTACAAGACGTGTCATGCGCCCCCATTTTAGGTCATTCATATGTACTAGAGGTGTCAAGTGACCCCATTATAGGTCATACATATGTACTAGAGGTGTCATGTGACCCCATTATAGGTCATACATATGTACAAGACGTGTCATGTAACCCCATTAAAGGTCATACTTATGTACAAGACGTGTCATGCGACCCCATTTTATGTCATTCATATGTACTAGAGGTGTCAAGTGACCCCATTATAGGTCATACATATGTACTAGAGGTGTCATGTAACCCCATTATAGGTCATACATATGTACTACAGGTGTCAAGTGACCCAATTATAGGTCATACATGTGTACTAGAGGTGTCATGTGACCCCATTATAGGCCATACATATATACTACAGGGGTCAAGTGACCCCATTATAGGTCATACATGTGTACTAGAGGTGTCATGTGACCCCATTATAGGTCATACATATATACTACAGGTGTCAAGTGACCCCATTTTAGGTCATACATATGTACTAGAGGTGTCAAGTGACCCCATTATAGGTCATACATATGTACTAGAGGTGTCAAGTGACCCCATTATAGGTCATACATATGTACTACAGGTGTCACTTGAAACCCTCTCCATAATCATACGAATTATCTGCTCAAAGCAGAGTCCATTGTACGATTCTGGCAATATCATAAGCTTAAAGTGTTTATAAATTTTCAAATAGTGATGATGATGATTATTATCATTATTGTTGCTGTTACTACTACTACCATTATTATTATTATTATTATTATTATTATTATTATTATTATACAAACAATAGCTACACTGATGACAATGACCTGAATGTATAAATCACTCAGTGAGTAAGCAGTTGCTATCAGTATTGCCCAACATGCACCTGTCTCAAATCCTCTGTCGCCAAACAATACAGCAATGTCCGTCAAAACGTTACACATATATAACGCCCTAAACGGCGAACAAAAATATCAATAAATCGAAATGAAAGGATCGGCATTTCGCTGGCTTCTTCTTCTTGCACTTCAACATGTATGGGGGGACCCTACCCCAGTCGTACACTGTCCCTGGGGGTCGGTTCAAGGCGTGTACCAGACGTCACCCACGGGAAAGAGCTACATCACCTACCTTGGAATCCCATATGCTCAACCACCGCTAGGAAGTCTCAGGTTTGAGAACCCTGTCCCACATCCTGGACCACAAGGGATATTTAAGACGACAGCTACATTTAATTTGGAGCCGTGTGTCCTCAACCACCCGTCCCTCATCACCCCTTGGCTCCATCTTCTCAGGATGAAGACTGCTTGACCCTGAATGTGTTCACCCCTGAGATGTCCTCCCCGACCCCCCGGGCAGTGATGGTCTGGGTACACGGGGGAGGCTGGTACAGAGGTGGTGCTGTGAAATTCAACATGTGGAAAATAACCACAGAGGCTCAGATAATTGGAGTCTCCATTCAGTATCGTCTTGGAGCTTTGGGATTTCTAAGTACCGGAAGTACCGTCATTCCTGGCAACTACGCTATGTTGGATCAGGTTCTTGCTTTGGAATGGGTCAAAGACAATATTGCCTCCTTTGGTGGTGACATCAATAACATTACCATATATGGACAGTCTGCAGGAGGGGCAAGCGTATCATGTCATACCCTCTCCCCCTTGTCCAAAGGATTGTTTAAGAGAGTCATCATGCAAAGTGGATCAGCACTTGGATTCTGGACAACTCGGACGGACGAAAGTAAATATGCCTATCAACTAGCCAAGAATGTAAACTGCCTGGTTTCGCAAAATCAAAGCCATAATGCCCAGAGCGACATGCGCATGATCGAGTGCCTTCGAAAGATACCTTACAGAAGCATCGTTGATGGTTCGGATTTTAACCTGTCATTGACATCATATTCTGATGATGCTGTTTGGAGCCCGGTAGTAGACAACCATTTCTTGGTGGGAGAACCAAGTAGGCTGACTGACGATGCCAGATTTCTCCAGTCAGTTGGATTCAACGAATATGACATTATGTTTGGCGTCAACAATGCTGAAGGAGGGATCATGGTGCATTTAGCAATGCAATATGGCGACCTACATAACATATCGGGGCTCGACATGATTTCAAAGCCTGGCTACTTCCAGGGCGAATACTTGCGCACGGTACTGAAACGATTCTATGGAGAATTTTTGAACGTGGACATAGATGTTGTGGAGTTTGAGTCTCGGATCTACACAGCTGTCCAGCAACCATATCCGCTGTTCAACCAAACAGCCGTCCAAGTGTTGGAGCAGTTGTTGAATACTGCTACCTTGATGTCTGCCTACAGGATTGCGCGTGCACGTGATCTCAACAACTCGTCGGGGAAAACCTTCCTGTACTTCTTTGATCACTACCCGGCATACGCTAAAAGATTCTACATTACAGGAATCTCTCATGGTGACATCAACTACTCCTTCGGGATTAACGACACCCTCATCCGTCTGAAGTACAACATCACTGGAAACATCAGCCAAGAGGAGTATCTTCTGTCAGACAAATTCGTTCAAATCCTGGCACAATTTGGAAAAACTGGGTGAATATTTTTTTATGCTTTTCGTAGTCCCGGAGGACTGATTACAAGGTGAAGTAGAATACAGTGGTTGCAAACATCTTTAAAGCCTTGTCTCGGTAGTATATAATTATGTTTTTCCCATATGTCATGGCCTCGTCATACCAAAAGACGTTAAAAGATGGTACTTGTTGTTAACCTGCCTGGCATTAAGGGGCAAACATTAGGACTGGTCTCCTCAGCATATTGTGTCTGAGTGGGATATTCATGTTCAAAAACGGTATGGTATCTCAGTGTGCTAGCTCTATATAATCGGTACAAGCAGACACACACGCGCGCGCGCGCACACACACACATGCATGCACGTATCTATATAAGTGCAATAATCTTGAACGCGACGTTAAACCCCATTTCACCCCATCTCACCTCACCTCACCATATGTCATTTGTGTTCACATTGCATTCCTAGTTTATGCACAAACATAAATGAAATCAAGCAAATCTCACTGTATGATAAACAGAATAAATAACATTGACAGAAATGATGATCCACAGAGATTAATTGACCTTCCTTGAAAGTGAGAAAATCAAGAATGTTTGGGCATATCGAAGTATACCTCAACTGTGTTAGACATTTTACTCGATGTATTAGTAACTGGTGTAGGCTTTTGGGAATGCAGTCTCATTGATATCAGCGAGCGTGTAATGATATGTTAGGATAACAAGATGGTAATGGTAAAGTGAACTGGGCCTCGGGTGTTCGCATGCTGCGTTATCGACAGGGTTTCCCTTTGTCAGGATTTCGGAAATTACAACCTTTTTATTAGCATGTTTTCCCAAAGAAAAATCATTTTATTGTATATGAAAGTGCTTTTAGCCATGATATTTAAATATAAATATAATGGTCTCTTGTCAACTTTCCCTATATGTCGAGATATATTTCAGTAGCTCCAGCCATCGGTGTCAATCGAACATGCTCTTTTTTTGAAGATTAGTCAAAAGTTGTTTGATCAAGGTGACAACATTCAAGGCCTCAGTAAAGCTTTCAAAACGTTTTATTGTAGACATATTCCAAAAATGACCAATGAATGACATAAATTATGTAGGATGCAATTCCCTTTTCAGGTTATACCATAAGTTCCCGTGTTGTTGTTTTTTTCAGGTGACTTGCCTTTGCATGTATTTGTGATAGGTGCCACCGATGGGGCAGGATACGCTCATATTTTCGCGAACAGTGGTATCATCATTATTTGATAGGGATTCATAAACACATGATCATCATATAGTAGGAATCGTACAATCAATTTCTTGTGAGTATGGAAAGGGTTTGGTCGTGTTTGGTAACATTTACCCGTGAAGCGTGATGTTACAGTAAAGGAGACTTTGGATGCATTGCTAGAATCCATAACTGGAGCGACGTTTTCTCAGATGGTATGAATCATTTGAAACTTAAAGCTTTGGTCAAAGAATATATTCCCGCAAATACGGTCCGAGCTCGTCAAAATGACAAGCCTTGGATCAATTCTGAACGAATAGGGACAGATAACATGTTCCCAGGATAAGCTGAAGTGTAAAGGATAGTTTTTAGGAAATAAAGTTAACTACATGAATGGTATGCAAAGGAAACGTTTTACTCCTATGTACATGAAACTTTTATTCAGAACATAAATTCTCGAACTGGAAACTATTACACAAGTGAAACATTTTCGAACGCCTGGTAATATGGGTGGTAATATATATGAGGATCTGTAGCCCGAATTCATATGTTGTGTCGTTGTTCATTAGCCTGAGTCTCTTCTTCCTGTAACACTAGTTTTAAGTAAATATGTGATATATAACTCGTGATTACACTGTCATCTGGCGACAGGTTTCTATGCAATTTATTTGTATAAGTTGATCAAGTCACAATATGGCCTATGGCTGGGATACTGTCTATTGACTTAAGATTCTAACTCACTCACTCACCTATTAGTCTCCTCTTTCATTTCCCTATTGTTCCAGATCTTTGTACTTAGTTGTTGTAAATACTTTCGCAATTGACTTAATAAGATGTGATAACGTGTGCCCAATCCAGTTCGGCATTGTTTGCTTGTTGTCTAACGCTGAATATGAAAACGATCTGTGATGCTCGTTTGTTTGTTTGTTTGTTGTGTAACGCTGCACTCAGCAATGTTCCAGCTGTATGACGGCGGTCTGTAAATAATCGAGTTTGGTCCAGACAATCCAGTGAGTGACATCATGAGCATCGCTCTGCGTAGTTGGGACAAGGTAACCAGGCATCAAAAGTGGAAGTGCGTTGCAACTTATAAGGACTAAAGCAAAAATAATACTACTTACAATAGTATCTTCGATTATTTGCACGATTATAACATTTTATTTTAACTTGTGATCACAAAGTGCACCCATGCTTTTCAAAAACAGTTGCATCTGCGTTTGTATGAGGTTGGTAAACACAATTATACGCCTGGTAATAGATATACATATATATGTATCTGCCAAAGTCTCCATGCAGTGATCCCAACACTGCTGTCAAGGAAACACTGCCGATATCATTACTTGTTGGGTATCTATTTCAACATTAGTATTTCCAAATTTCCACGTTTCCCTTAAGCGGGCAATATTTTTTAAAAACATTATTAGTTATAACATTTATCTATTCATCTTACCTTACACATTCATGTCGGCTTCTGACTGACTGACTGACTGACGCCCATTCTAATATGTTCATTTTACCCTGCTAACATGTAAGGTACGTTTCTTATTATCCCGCTCGAATTGCCGAACTGTTGGCATTACATTTGCAACATGCCAACCGCAATTTTGTTTCTCGAATTACTAATGTAAGAGGTCATTCTCCGGATTATGATATTTTCCGAAATATTTTTCCTGAAATACATCTAGGGGGAATAACTCTAAGTTTGTTTTGAGTCGTCTGCTATAAATGCCTAACTGTGGTATTCCTACTATTCGGGCCCAAGCCTGCATGAGACATACCTGCAATATAATTCGGTGTTCGATGAGATAAATTTATTGTCCACCCGAAGGGCGAGGGGAACATAAACGTAGAGGGTACATGAACCTATGTCCCCCTTGAGACCGGTGAACAACTTATAATTTCCCCATGCAACACAATTTGTTTTCTGTTCTATCCTTGCAGTGATCCCAACTCCGCTGTCAAGGAAAACCTGTCGACTGTATGGCGAGAGTTTTCTGGTCCCGACTGGAGTTATCTTTCCTTTACAACCAACATGGAGGTCAAGACTCATCTTCGACAGAGGGAGGCTGAACTATGGCTGGATCTCATCCCTAAACTGCACATGGATGGTAATAAGAATTGTGATGAGAAACAAAAGACTTAACCTGCCGTAAAGACATAATTATCGGCACTCGGATGATGGCTGAATATTGATTTAGCCTTCTTCGGAGTTTTATAGTCGGAAACCAAGACATTGATTCCTTCAGACATTGAACTATAAATGATCTTTCATTTAGGCACCTTTGCTCATATAAGCTCTCGTTTCTTTGGAATAGTCCTAAAACCACAATAAATGTGGATTAATTATAGTTATGTTAGGACTATAAACTATTGATTAATCCTTATTATAATGTGCTATAACCCATGTAGTGGCGTGTGTTTGTGACGGGTTCCAGCGGTGGAGCAGGGTACGCTCATCTTCTGGCGACCAACTGGTATCATTACTATTTCATAGGAGAGATAAGGTGAAATGGGGTTTAACGTGTCCAAGATTATTGCACTTATATAATCTCCACCCGGATGATGGTTGAATATTTGATTTAGCCTTCTTCGGAGTTTTATAGTCGGAAACCATATTATGTTTAATATAAGCTGGTTTATTCTATTACTGGCTGCGGTATAATCGAGTTAAACATAGTTGCTTCTACTAGTGATCTTCCAAATACATATAACACGGTTACTGCACTGTGACGTCACCATTACCTCAGGGGATGATAGCATGAACAGACTGGTGACGTTGTCAAGGTAACGTCGGGTTGGGGGTTTCTGAAGGAGACCGGAGACTATATATAATTTTATCATTTAACTAAAGCATTTATCCATGACATAAGCTTATGACATAAAAACATGTATGTCATACCCCAATGACATAAGTATGCAAATTAGATATGCAAATTAGATAACCGGAAATGGGACTTTTTTCGCCGGTGCAGTGAGTAGGTGTTTACAAACAACATGGATACCTTTGATGTTGGAGACAATGTTTTAATAGATGAAAGGGGAAGTGCTACAGTGATATCCGTGTTGAAAAATGGATATTACAGGTTACAGGTTGATGGTACTCTTTTTCTCAGCGAAGGAATATGCCATAAAGGAGTTAAGAGGTTGTTTATTTTGGTTTACACGGCTATGGAAACCTTGTATCACTACGCAAGATCTATTAGTAAGATTTCGACAAGTTGCTGATGTTATTGTTAATGCAATTATTCCTTAATAGGGAAGCAAAAATGATAAATAGAATTCATCACTCGTGTTTTTTAATATGGGAAATATCAACCTCGTCCCGTTAATCCCGATTAACTAAGACTCGGTTGATATTTCCCATATTAAAAAACACTCGTGATGAATCCTCTATGTAAACATTTCATCATTTATGAAAAGTAGCAATGAAAATATGTCTTCACAGGCCTCCAATGAGAAGAATGGTACTTGGATTGACTATACAAGCTAAATAGCCATAAAATCCATATGAGCCACACATATGTGTGATACTTGCTGTAGCCCACCTTTCAATGTGTATTGCCCAATAAACTAGTATTTACAATAAAGAATGCTATGCCTTGCTATCATTTAATATGAATATTTGACTGGATTAGCCAAATAAAATATTTGTGTAAAAATTCTTTTGAAGCGTACATAAAAGGAACAGTTGCATGCTTAACATTCAAGGTGTATCTGTCAATAGTTTACACGATGTTCGGCTGTACGAGAGACCGGCCACATTACCGCGAAACCGACGTTCATAAGCGTATATGTTTTTTAACCTGAGGTATAGATGATATACAGTTTTGGTCTCTGGGTTTTTCCATTAGACGAGAGAAATTTATGAAAACAAAAGTCCCAAAAAAACGACGGAAACACAAGTTCACAACTTCCACATTCCCCAGAATTGTGTTTGACCATGAGACACTTTATCTTGTAATTGTGGGACGGTCGGGTAGCCTTGTGGTTAAAGCGTTCGGTCGTCACGCCGAAGACCCGGGTTTGATTCCCGACATGGGTACAATGTGTGAAGCCCATTTCTTGTGTCCCCCGCCGTGATATCGCCATGGATTCGAACCAGCGAGGTCCACACCGAAGGCAAACGAATGTAGTCTTCTGCCACGGCAATTAGGAAGAAATTGCATAAATTAACAACTAAACATTTACTTACCTCAGAACAAATTGTTGATCCGTCTGTATATGTGTTTTATGCAGTGCGTCTTATGTTACTCTATGATTGTACGTGTGATTTGGTGGTCAGGCTCGCTGACTTGGTTGATGTATGTCATCGTATCCCAATTGCGTGGATCGATGCTCATGATGTCAATCACAGGATTGTCTGGTCCAGATTCGATTATTTACAGACCGCCGTTATATAGCTGGAATATTGCTGAGTGCGGGCGTTAAACAACAAACAAACAAACAAACAAACAAACAAAACGTGTGATTTGGTAGCTTTTCGTTCAATGCAACGAATAGATAGAAAAGAAATTACTTACTATCTTGATCAGGGCTGTGATTGCGCATAAGAGGCCTGTCAACAAAGGCAAGTAGCGTTTACCTGATTGATAAATGTGCTCGAGTTGGTCCAAAATGAATGGTATACTTGCCCCGGAACATGCATTTCATAACCCGAGTCGGCAAAGTGCGAGGTGCACGTGCAAAAGGCTCGGGGAACATATTGGACGCGCATCACACAGGGGCGACTCACACTGTGTCCACACAGTTTAGCATAGAGTTCCTGAATATCTTTCAAAATACCTTTGGGCACTCGTGAAGAGCAACCTCCTCGTGGTGAATGCTGGGTAGCGCTAATAGCTCTTCACCCCATTGTTTGCCGTGGGTTGCGCCCCTGTGTCGGTGGAGGAAGGGATTCTGGTGGTTGAGGGCACTGGAGCCAGGAACCGGTGTTCCTTTTGCCCAACACACCACTTTGACCCTAACTTCACCTAGACGGGTGTTAGAATGGGCCCGGTTTTATCAATCGGCTGGTCACGTCATGCCCTGTGCATGGTTTATTTCGATTTTGAATGTATCTTTATATTCAACATAGTTATTTAACATAAACAATTTGAATTCATTATAAATCTGAGTAGTATAGGTAATGGGGGTTCTGGACCACTTCCACTGTAGCTGGATTTATATACCTATACTGCTACTACAGATGGAATTTTTTATGTCAAAATGAATTATGTGATTTAATGATAGTCATGAGATTAAGTTAAATTGGCTCCAGTTCACCACCACCTGGGGCCAATGATATAAATTTTTATAGGTAATAAGGGTTCTGGCTCACTTCCACTGTAGCCAGATTTGTATTAAACGAAATATCAATATTAATTAATAATGGATAAAATTTACTATAGCCCACAAGGATATTGGAAAGGTGTAGGAGCAATAAAAAAATTAGCCACCGCGGCTAAGGTATCTAAAGATGTGGCCAAGGATTGGTTAAAGAAACAAGCGATGTGGCAAATATATTTACCGGCACCGCGTTATATACCGAGGAAGAAGTTTGATATTTTTACAACGAATGAAGTTCATCAGGCTGACCTCTTGTTTCTTCCCCACGATAAGGTAAAACGCAAAACGTATAAATACGCTTTAACAGTAGTGGATGTGGCTAGTCGATACAAAGAGGCTGAGCCATTAACATCGAAAGAATCAACAGAGGTAGCTAATGCACTGAGTCGCATATATAAACGCGGACCGCTAAAATGGCCTAAGCTATTTCAAGTAGATCCCGGTCGCGAGTTTATGGGATCGGTAACTAAACTGTTAACAAAGAACGATGTCAAAATCGTCCGTGGTGAAAGAGAGGCCCACCGCAGTCAAGCTATCGTCGAAAGATTTAACAGGACATTAGCGGAACGTTTGTTTGGCTATCAGTATGGGATCGAAATGAAATCCGAGCGATTGAGATCAACCGAATGGGTGACACGATTATCAGCCGTTGTATCAGCGCTGAATAATGAAGTAACGAGATTAATAGGGAAGAAACCATCCGATGCTATTAAAATGAAATCCGTGACTTCCAAATCTTCAGCACCGAGGAGAGGTAAAGAACGAAAACTTCCGGATAGAGTAAGGGTAAGATATTTATACCAGGCTGGTGAACTCGAAGGAGGCCTACGTCGCGCAACCGATCCCATATGGTCCCTTAAGATGTATAACATTAGTCGATTGGTTATGAAAGAAGGAGAGCCTATTCTTTATTATCTTCAAGATGGACCGGGTAGGGCATTTGTACGAGAAGAGTTGTTCATAGTTCCCGACGGTACAGTATTACCACCATAACCATAAGCATAGGTATTTACACCATCATTATCAATCCATCTCTTTGTATCTAAGGGGGATAATGATGTCTTGTTCATTCTTAATCCATATATCCTATGATTGTAACTTCTTAAAGAGTTCATCTCATGTTTGAACTTTCTACCGTTAAATAATGATTCTTTATACTGTTCGTGTTTGATATGCTTTTTTACAACATACTTCTTAACACCCTTAGCTTTTCTTATCTCTCCATTATCAGACTTCTTTATAGAATACATCTTAGGTCTTAATCCCACATACTCCACTATAGGGGTCCCAGCACATTCATCCTTCATCTTACCTAACACCTTTTTATTTACAACGCTGTGCAGTGGATTATCTTTTGGGTAATCGCTCGTGTCGTACATATCTATTTTTTCTGCCATATCTTTATACACATCTTCGGTTTGTATTTCCAACAACAAAGAATCTGTGTCGGTATATAACACCTCACATCTATCGCTGTATTGCTTCTTAAGTTCGTTGTAATAAAAGTCATACATTAAGTGTTTTGACAAGTCCAGAATACTCATACCAACGTACACCGGTCTGTTAAATTTTATATTACTCTTCTGCATATGCAACGCGGCTAAGTCGTTATCGAATATCTTGCTTCTGTTAAAAGCCGGGCTGGCTATAAGTTTCCTGAGTCTTTCTTCCTCATTAGATCTGACTAATTTAACATCAACACGCTTCCTTAGATTCTCCATAGTTTTACCAAATACCGAGTTATTCATGAGCTTATACAGATCCTTTTCGAAATCGCTGGTAGCTATCTTTCTTAAATCTGTGTTCAACCTTAAATAGGGCTCCATCCAAGGGCTTTGATCAAACTTTAGAACTCTGTGTATTTTCTTAAGTTTCATACCTAACGATAGATACAACTGGAGATTTCTGTAGTGAACTATATATTTTGTTTTATCCATCAAATTTGGTATGAGTTTTTCTACGTTAGCTAACCTACTATTACCCATCAAGGAGCGTTGATATTCCGACATCCAATCTTTATTAACCATTAATCTTTCGGGAGCTAGCGGATAACTGTTATGATCTTTATGTAACGAACTTGGATATTCCAAGTCAACTTCTAGTATGTACCCTTTATTCGCTTCGATATTATGGATATCATCGACCCATTCAAAACCACCCATGGGTAAAGGTTGACTCATAGCCCATCCGTACAAATTGTTGGCGTCGAGATATAATATGTGTGTGTTGGGTTTACTGGGATCGTATCCTTCCACTAATTTATTATTAGCCTTAGAATACCTTTTAGCTGTCATCGATATACCACCTCTTAATCCTTTCTCAATAAACAAGTGCATATCGTAATCTGTGAGTAGTTTTAGTTCTACGCCGGTCTTCTTCAACAATGCATCCCACGATAGTCCTGGACTGGAATAGTACCATGCCGGGTCCAAGCCGTATTGTTTGAAACATGTCTTTCTAAATATCTCGAATATATCGGCTAGTAACAGTACATCGGTTTTTAAGTACAGATCGTGATAATCGCCTAAATTCTTACAACCTAATTTATCCCAGACCGTCAGAGCGTGTTCATAATCAGCATCTGTTATTCTAGATTCTGTTAAGTTACTATAGAATGATTCGAGGGGTGGTAATTCAGTTTCTTCGAATCTAGACCAACCATCCATATATTCGTAAGGATATACACCTTTTCTCAGCAACAAATGACGAGTTATCTTATCGGTATATTTATTTGTTATCGTGAAGTCATCGGGATTGTTCGCATTAGCTAAATTGTCCAAGGAAGATAACAGAAATTGTACGGAGTCTATGAATCTAAGCCCATTACACGAGAACGATATGTATTTTTCCATATTATTAGGAATGCATGTTAAACCGCCGTCGGTCTTCGAGATAGCTTGCATAATGAGATGTGAATCGTATCCCCTAAGGTTATGAAACACAACGGGGATGGGTATTGTTTGAGAGTTCATTTTTAGTTTCAAGTTAC